AATGTCCACCTTCTTCCTCAACCGAGGATTCCCCAGCTCCGTTGTCAACAGGGCCCTCAACCAGGTCCAACCCATCTCCTGCACTTCCGCCCTCACCCCCCTCTTCCCTCCCGCAACAGCAATAGGGTTCCCCTTGTCCTTACCTACCATCCCACCAGCATCCACATCCAGAAGATCATCAGACACCATTTCTGCCACCTCCAGCAAGATGCCACCACCAGACACATATTCCCCTTCCCTCCCTTGTCCGCCTTCTGCAGGGACCGTTCCCTCCGGGACACCCTGGTCCACACTTCCTTCACTCCCAACAGCCCCCCACAGCCCCACGGCACCTTCCCCTGTAACCGGCGAAGGTGCAACACCTGCCCATTTACCTCCTCCCTCCCCACTATCCAAGGGCCCAAACATACCTTCCAGGTGAAGTGACACTTCACCTGCACTTCCCAGAATCTAGTCTATTGCATTCACTGCTCACAGTCTGGTCTCCTCCACATTGGGGAAACGAAGCGTAGACTGGGTGACTGCTTCACAGAACATCTACGCTCTGCTCCCACAAAAGACCCTGAACTACTTGTTGCCTGCTACTTCAACGCACCACCTTGCTCTCTGGCCAATATCTCTGTCTCTGGCTTCTGCAGTGTTCCAGTGAAGCTCAACACAAGCTGGAAGAACAACACCTCATTTTCCACTTGGGGATCCTACAGTGCTCCGGACTCAATATTGAGTTCAATAATTTTAGGGCCTAAACTCTCCCATGTCCCAGCCCCCCACCCCACACACCAGGCCTTGTTACCACATAGCCTGCCATTACACACCCCCTGTTGTTAGTCACTAACAGTCCCCATTAACAACTATTCACCCTCCCAGCCTGATCGTTAGCAACTCCTTTGTCTATCCAACGGTCTTTCTCTCTCTTCAGGCTCTATCCTATCGTTTACTCCCTACCCCACCCACTTCCCTATTTTCTGCATATAAACCGACAATTTCTCAGCTACCATCAGTTCTGAGGAAGGGTCGCTGGACCCGAAACGCTAACTCTGATTTTTTCTTCACAGAGGCCGCCAGACCTGCTGAGCTTTTCCAGCAACTTCTGTTTCTGTTCACAGTCAAGGCAAGGTCAGGACCAGTGATATATAAAGTTCGGGGAGGTGTGACGGCCCTGAACAATCATGTGGACCATACGAAAGCTGCAAACTCACAAACAGTGTGACAGCAAAATGTGCCCTGACCCTTGGAGCAGTCAGAAAGGCTGTCAGAACCTGTGGGTTCACCCTCTCTGTCAAATGTTGACGAGTCCTCAGAATCAGAGATGGACATGATGGATTTCACTGCCTCGATGACAGGAGGGTGACATTCTATTGAGGCATACCTGGCACAAGAGGCGAGATCCCATGTGTTACATGCTGCCCGTACGGGATATTGAGCGGGAGGAACCTGACCCAGTGCTGAAAGGCGTAGGAGGCTCTTCCAGAAAATGGACCAGCCTATGTCCTCGGACTCAGAGAGGGAGGGATGTCGTGAATGTAACAAGGTCAGCCAGCCGGGCCTCGTAGAATATGAGTTCTCTGATTGGTGCTGTTAATCTGGTCCAATCAGGGAGCCCTGGCTGATATAAAAACAGCAATGTCAGAGAGTCTGGCACTCTGAGAGCTGGCTCTGAATGAAGTAGCACTAAGGTCAAGGACTGTTTGCGTGTAATAAAAGGGTGATTTGGTGACAGGATACTAGACTCTGTGGAGTTATTTCACCCAGAATATTATCTGGGTCTCTGGATTAACAGTCCAGCGATAAGACGACTAGGCCATCGCCTTCTGTCTATTGAGCTGTCCCTGGTTTCCAGCCCACCCTGGGGTAATGGAGACTGTGGGATAGTCATAAATGGCTGAGTCTAGGGCTCTGGAGAATGAGTTCAAATTCCATCACCCACACTGGTAAAATTTCAGTTCAATGAATAAATCTGGTATTGAAAAGCAGTCACAGTGAAACTGTTGTTCATTGCTGTAAAAATGCACCTTGGTCATTAATGTTCTTGGAGGAAGGAGATTCTCTGTCTTTACCTAGTCTGACCTACATGTGATTCCAGATACACAGCAATGTTGTCAATTCTCAATTGCCCTAAGAAATGGCTTAGCAAGCCACTCAGTTCAAGAGCAATTAGGGATGGACACCAAAATTTTAAAAATGGTATCGTGCTGACCTTATGATTAAATAACACAGTAGCCCTTGGACAGCTGTTTAAATGACCACTTGCCAGGAACACATTTACTTTGAGAGTCAGCCCTCACCATCACGCTAATATCAATGGGCACCTCGTTACTCTGACATGACAAAGATATATACAACTTGCTGGCAAATTCTTCCCATTTCCATCACAACTTCCACTTGAGATAATCACGGCCCTTTTGATCAGAACATCAAAGTGACCTTTCATTTAATTTAAACTCATCTAATATTGATTAAAATCTATTTCTGAACTTTGTCCAGACAAAATAATTTACGGGTCTGTCAAGCCAATGAAGAAAAGTACATAAATAATTTATAAAGTACATACGCAGTACAGCTGCCATAATCAGTTTATAAGGATATTTATAGACAGTTTTCTTTATTCTGCAAGTATCTGCCAACTTGAAAAATAGAACAATTTTGTGACTGGGGTATATCTTTAAATATCTCTGAAGGTCTTCCCTCCTGTATTTTACACAGTTCGCCTGTCACTACAGAATTGTAAATGTATTCATGAAGCTTTCACCTATTTTTCATTCACCAACATTCCTTAGAAATACTGAAAGGGTTGACACAAATTCACAGTTATGACTTTGTAACTTGTAATTTGCAGAGGGATACTCCCCCACTGTACCCTCATCCTCCACCCGTGCACCCCCATCCCGCTACCTTGCTGCCTTCAGTCTTTGTGAATTTACATACTTAGCCTAACTTCCTTATCTCTGTGTAATGGAGTTGTCAGATGCCCTTTTCCAGTGGTTGAGTTGCCTTTCCTTACTCTGTCCTCAAGCACCGAGCAGGTCTGCTGAACAATTTTCACAAAATTGTCAATTTGCTACATCACTACCTTGCTGCCTCTGTGAGTGGAATTTGTCCTAAAAGCCCACACAGTCTGCCTCAGTGCATTATTCTGTTAATTAGCTCGCGGTTCATTAAACAACCAGAGGCATTCTGTCTTGAGACTTTCTGATAAGCACTACACCACACCCGCTCCTCTCCTCTCCCTCCCTGGGAATTGCTACCCCCACCCCCTTGTTGACTCCCACTGTCACACCCCCACTCTGTGTTGGATTTTGGGCTCTGGGGAGATACACTGTTAACCACAGTACCTCAAATCTCCAAGCTAGTGACTCTGAAGAGGGAGGTTTTCCTTTCCTAAGTTTTTAGTGTCATATCTTCTGGTCACCACATAAATATTTACCATTGCCCCATCTCCCCCAAGTTTCTGACTTCACAAATGCAGACAATCGGGATATTTCACAATTCCCACATACTGTTCAGGCTTACAAAGTACAGTACCAACCAGGAACAGGCACTATGGCCCACCAAGACTGTGCCAACACATGATGCAGTTTGCTTCTCCACTGTCTATATTCCTCTATTTCCTGGCCACTTGTCTGTCCTCGGCTGGTACAATGCTCCAGTAAATCACAGTGCAAACTGTGGGAACAACATCTCATCTTCAGACTACGCACTTTGCAACCATCTGGACTAAATATCGAATTCAACACCTTCGGACTGTGAACCCACTTCCATTCCTTCCCTTTCTTTTACCATTACATGTTGCATTTTCAGTCACCACATCCTCCCTGCCCTCCCCCCTCTCCAGTAGGACTGTCTGTTTTATCCAGTTTGGTAGTTAGACACACCATTGTTTTGCCATTCTCATATTCTGCTCAAACAGCACCCTTTCTCCCCCAGCACTCCAACCCGAGACTATTGCATAAATGCTGCTCCCTCCACACTTCACATCAGCTCTGTTGAAGAGTTATCTAGACTCCAAACGTTAGCTTGCTCTCTCTCCATGGATGCTGCCTGCCCCCCCGCCGTGAGACATGACTTTATTCCGAGGGGCTTTGATAGGGTAGATGCTGAGAGGATGATTCCTCTGATGGGGGAGCTTAGTTTGTGTTTCAGAAGCACAGTTTCAGAATAAGGAGTCTTCCATTTGAGACATATACAAAGAGGAATGTGTTCCCTTGGAGGGTCACTAGTCTTTGACATTCTCTTCCCCAGAAAGCAATGGAGACTGCTCCTTAGGCTTGGGAACCTCCAAGTTCCCTTTCCATCATACAACATCCCAACCTGAAAATCTATTGTCTGTTCCTTCCCAGGTCGAAATCCGGAACCTTCCAAGCTGGCTGCACTATCACTGAAGTGTTACAACATAGAAGGAGGCCATTCGGCCCATTGTGTCTGCACCAGCTCTTCAGATGAGCATCATTACTTAGTGGCAAACTCCTGCTTTCTCCCCATATCCTTGTACATTACTTCTGTCCAATGGCTTCACCTCATGGGCCATCACCATCTTCTCAAGGCAAGCTAGAGTGGCTCAGTGGTTAGCACTGCTGCCTCATAGTGCCAGGCATCCAGGTTCGATTCCAGCCTCAGGCAACTGTCTGTGTAGAGTTTGCACATTGTCTCCATCTCTGTGTCTGTGTGGGTTTGCTCTGGTTTCCTCCCACAGTCCAATGATATGCAGGTTAGAGTGGATTGGCCATGAGAAATGCAGGGTGATAGCATAAGTTGGGTGGAATACTTTTTGCAGGGTTGGTGTAGACTTGATGGGCTGAATGGCCTGCTTCCACACTGTAGGTGTTCCCTGATTCTGTAGAGCTGAGTAAAATCTCTGTCAATGATGGCCCCATACTGAGACTATATTTTTGAAAATTTTACAGGAAAATCTGAACATAGCTCAACAATCATTACAAAAATGAGTAAAATGTATTTTAAAAAGCTTTATTTACTTATTCTCTTCTGATACTGAGACATCTTACCTGCACCATAAACCACAGCATAGACAATTCGCTTGGCTTGTTCTCGATCTGCACTCTTCACCTGATCTACTGAAATGCCTTTCCTAGACCAACAGTATAGCAAAGAGTTTACAAATACAAACAACGGGCAACAGAAGCAACTCCAAATTATATTCCTACAGGTCAAGAAAGAAATGGAGCAAGGAAATCTCGAAGCAGTTGGATATTGTGTTTGGTTTTGGTCTCTATAATGTGATCAGTCCATCAGCAAAAGCAATTTAAAAGAGACCAGCCTTTAAAAGCAAAAGCTGACCGTGACAGACTCTTGGCCAAACTCTAGCTCACAGAGTTTGATGGGACATGTATCACTGAGTGGTTGGACCAAATATTTCAGCTGGAATGTGAAACTGTGTTTCCACGTTTTATCAAACTCTCACCACGACAGTCATTTGGCAAATCTACCAAAGACCAGAGATTGGGAACGTACCCAGGAACAGGTATTGAGGGAGATTCCATATCGCACAGGCAAGGCAATTGTCCCAGTGTAACCACTGAGTGACATTAAATCCTAATTCTGCATAAGTTTTGTTTTGCCCAGACCCTGCATGAGGTTCCTCAATTTGTTACTGTTCCAGACAGGATACCCCAAAATGTATTAAGCTCCTGGGTGAAGAGGGATGACTGGACTCTATGTCTTTAATTAGCTCCCTCCTTGGTTAGTTGCCACAAGGTTAATTTGAAAATGAATTGCTTCCCTTGAAGGTATCTTTCTACCAGAGCCAAATCAGCTTATGTTCCAAAAGGAGTCAGTTTAATCAGGCTTTCCTGAGTTAACAAAGAGTGAGTTTATTACTTATTAAATGTGAGAGGAATTAGTAAAGCAATGCACATGCACACTGATTAGAAATAAGAGGAGAGCCTGAAGGGATTGAAGTTTAAAAAAATAGATTTGTAGATCAGACTCTAAATTGTCTGCAAAGAACAGATGGTTGAACATTTACAGCCATTGCAGTGGAAATTCCCAGCTGATTAGTTGTTGTTGGTTTCACAATCCTTGATTTTATAGATTGGTTGAGATATAGGACAGTATTACGGTGGCAGAAAGGACGTTTGATGAGGACTTGTCTTCTGAGGTAGTATGGGCTGAGGTTAGAAGCAGGAAAGGAGAAGTCACCCCGTTGGGAGTTTTCTATAGGCCTCCAAAAAGTTCCGGAGATGTAGAGGAAAGGATTGCAAAGATGATTCTGGATAGGAGCGAAAGTAACAGGGTAGTTGTTATGGGGGACTTTAACTTTCCAAATATTGACTGGAAACGCTATAGTTCGAGTACTTTAGATGGGTAAGTTTTTGTCCAATGTGTGCAGGAGGGTTTCCTGATACAGTATGTAGATAGGCCAACAAGAGGCGAGGCCACATTGGATTTGGTACTGGGTAATGAATCAGGCCAGGTGTTAGATTTGGAGGTAGGTGAGCACTTTGGTGATAGTGACCACGATTCGGTTACGTTTACTTTAGCGATGGAAAGGGATTGGTATATACCGCAGGGCAAGAGTTATAGCTGGGGGAAAGGCAATTATGAGGCGATTAGGCAAGATTTAGGATGCATAGGATGGAGAAGGAAACTGCAGGGGCTGGGCACAATTGGAGCTTGTTCAAGGAACAGCTACTGTGTGTCCTTGATAAATATGTACCTGTCAGGCAGGGAGGAAGTGGTCGAGCGAGGGAACCATGGTTTACTAAAGAAGTTGAATCTCTTGCAAGAGGAAGAAGGAGGCTTATGTAAAGATGAGGCATGAAGGCTCAGTTAGGGCGCTTGAGAGTTACATGTTAGCCAGGAAGGACCTAAAGAGAGAGCTAAGAAGAGCCAGGAGGGGACATGAGAAGTCTTTAGCAGGTAGGATCAAGGAAAACCCTTAAGCTTTCTATAGGTATGTCAGGAATAAAAGAATGACTACAGTAAGATTAGGGCCAGTCAAGGACAGTAGTGGGAAGTTGTGCGTGGAATCTGAAGAGATAGGAGAGGCGCTAAATGAATATTTTTCGTCAGTATTCACACAGGAAAAAGACAATGTTGTCAAGGAGAATACTGAGATACAGGCTATTAGACTAGACAGGATTGAGGTTCATAAGGAGGAGGTGTTAGCAATTCTGGAAAGTGTGAAAATAGATAAGTCCCCTGGGCCGGATGGGATTTATCCTAAGATTCTCTGGGAAGCTAGGGAGGAGATTGCAGAGCCTTTGGCTTTGATCTTTATGTCGCCATTGTCTACAGGAATAGTGCCAGAAGACTGGAGGATAGCAAATGTTGTCCCCTTGTTCAAGAAGGGGAGTAGAGACAACCCTGGTAATTATAGACCAGTGAGCCTTACTTTGGTTGTGGGTAAAGTGTTGGAAAGGATTATAAGAGATAGGATTTATAATCATCTAGAAAGGAATAACTTGATTAGGGATAGTCAACACGGTTTTGTGAAGGGTAGGTCGTGCCTCACAAACCTTATTGAGTTCTTTGAGGTGACCAAACAGGTGGATGAGGGTAAAGCGGTTGATGTGGTGTATATGGATTTCAGTAAATCGTTTGATAAGGTTCCCCATGGTAGGCTATTGCAGAAAATACGGAGGCATGGGATTGAGGGTGATTTAGCGGTTTGGATCAGAAATTGGCTAGCTGTAAGAAGGCAGAGGGTGGTGGTTGATGGGAAATGTTCATCCTGGAGTTCAGTTACTAGTGGTGTACCGCAAGGATCTGTTTTGGGGCCACTGCTGTTTGTCATTTTTATAAATGACCTGGATGAGGGCGTAGAAGGATGGGTTAGTAAATTTGCGGATGACACTAAAGTCGGTGGAGTTGTGGATAGTGCGGAAGGATGTTGCAGGTTACAGAGGGACATAGATAAGCTGCAGAGCTGAGCTGAGAGGTGATTCACTTTGGAAGGAGTAACAGGAATACAGAGTACTGGGCTAATGGTAAGATTCTTGGTAGTGTGGATGAGCAGAGAGATCTCGGTGTCCATGTGCATCGAGCCCTGAAAGTTGCCACCCAGGTTGATAGGGTTGTTAAGAAGGCGTACGGTGTGTTAGGTTTTATTGGTAGAGGGATTGAGTTTCGGAGCTATGAGGTCATGTTGCAGATGTACAAAACTCTGGTGCGGCCGCACTTGGAATATTGCGTACAGTTCTGGTCACCGCATTAGAGGAAGGATGTGGAAGCATTGGAAAGGGTGCAGAGGAGATTTACCAGGATGTTGCCTGGTATGGAGGGAAGGTCTTATGAGGAAAGGCTGAGGGACTTGAGGCTGTTTTCGTTAAAGCGAAGAAGGTTAAGAGGTGACTTAATAGAGACATACAAGATGATCAGAGGATTAGATAGGGTGGACAGCGAGACCCTTTTTCCTCGGATGGTGATGGCTTGCACGAGGGGACATAGCTTTAAATCGAGGGGTGATAGATATAGGACAGATGTCAGAAGTAGGTTCTTTACTCAAAGAGTAGTAAGGACGTGGAATGCCCTGCCTGCAACAGTAGTTGACTCGCCAAATTTAAGGGCATTTAAACGGTCATTGGATAAACATATGGATGATAATGGAACAGTGTAGGTTAGATGGGCTTCAGATTGGTTTCACAGGTCGGCACAACATCGAGGGCTGAAGGTTCTGTACTGCGCTGTAATGTTCTATGTTCTGTAGTTCTGATGCCTTTTGACCATAATTGAATTCCAGAATTCAGGGTATAAGTGAGTTATCCTGTTGTTGTCCTGTTTCCTTCTGTATGGGAGCTAGCAAGTTGATCTCTAGCAATCAAAGTAAGAGAGTCCCTCTATCTGAAACACAGGGGTGACTAAGGGGTGGAGCTTTGACTATGACCTTCATTGCAATGTTAATTCTTTAACACAGACTGATACAGACAAGAAAGTACACTCCCACTAGTTCAAACCACCTTTTTTTTTCTGTAAAGTCTATCTGTAGGACAGCTTCTGTGCTGAAATTTGGGACAAATCTTTGATCTCCTGTTTTGTTATTGGAATAGGGAGGTGATGACCTAATGGTACTATCGCTGGACTGTTAATCCAGAGACCTTGGTAATGTTCTGGGGACCCAGGTTCAAATCCCACCACAACAGATGGTGGAATTTGAATTGAATAAAAATCTGGAATTAAGAGTCTAATGATTATTATGAAACCATTGTCGATTGTCAGGAAAACCCATCTGGTTCACTAATGCCCTATAGAGAAGGAAATCTGCTGTCCTTACCTGATCTGGCTTACATGTGACTCCTGGTCTGGCTTACATGTGACTCCAGACCCCCTGCAATGTGGTTGACTCTTAACTGTCCTCTGGATCGGCAGTAACTACTGTCCTAGCCAGCAATGTCCTAATCTCATAAACAAATACAAATAAACAGGGAACTGCGCTAATGCTGCTCCCTGTGCAATGTTTGGCCTTGCCCCAGATAGATCACTTGGATTTCAGATAATCACTGAGATCAGCTGCAACAAAAACTGAAGTTGCTGGAAAAACTCAGGAGGTCTGGCACCATCTGAGAAGAAAACATCAGAGTTAACGTTTCGGGTCCAGTGGCCCTTGCTCAGAAATCCCTCTGAGGAAGGGGCACTGGACCTGAAATGTTAACTCTGATTTTTTCTTCACAGATGCTGCCAGACCTGCTGAGCTTTTCCAGCAACTTCTGTTTTTGTTCCTGATTAACAGCATCCGCAATTCTTTCAGTTTTTAACTGAGATCAGCTGACTGTATTTGTTGTAAATGGGGCTTCCAAGTACATTTCCCAAGTGCTGCTGTATATCTCACTATCACCCCTTGGCTTTCAATGGTGTTACCATCAATGAATCTCCAACTTTCAATACCCTGGGGGCTACTCTTGACCAAGAACCGAACTGGACTAGCCATATAAACACAGTGGCTACAATAGCAGGTCAGAGGCTAGGAATACTGCAGTGAGTAACTCACCTCCTGATTCCCCAAAGCCTGTCCACCATCTACAAGTCAGGAGTGTGATGGAATACTCTCCACTTGCCTGGATGGGTGCTGCTGCAACACACTTATGTAGCCTGGCACCGTTGGAGAAAGCAGCCCGCTTGATTATTGCCACA